CTGAAAGCACAGGGAAGTAGTCGAATAGTCAGCTTCCAATGAACCAATGCTTTTATGGTACCTGACAGTTTAGACCTGTTTTCTCATAGGCACACATATTAATTTCTGGGATGAAGGAAAGTGTTTTTAGTGTCAATTTTCAATGAGCAGAGAAATAGAATTATAGAGCTATCTTAAAAAATTTAATCAATTACAAACTAAGTTTGATATTGGACTTCTTACACCAAAACTGAAAGTAATTTTTGTATTTCTGACTGCTTTAAATCTTGCCATGTATATCTATTTAGGAGGTGAGAAAATATACATGAGAATACATATATTTTGATATTGAAAAAAATATGAAAGTTGGAAAAGAATTTGCAAGATAGAAATGAGTGATCTGGAAAACCATGAAAATAATAGCTGTCACTGTTGAACTCTTAAGATATGTCAGACACTGTGCTAGGATCTTTACATTCATTTACTCAATTTGATCTCACAAGAGTTGAAAAGGAGATTATGTTATCATCTCAGTTTTAGAGATGAGGAAATAGAAGCTGAGAGAGAATAAAGCAACTTGCTGCAGGTCATTAGATAGCCAGGAAATAGCACAATCAAGACATGAACCAAAACTGTCTGAAATCAGTGTTCAGACTCCTAACAGATTAGTCAGCAGCCACTGTACCTGAGCAGTACTTCATATGTTGCTTTTATAATGTCAAAAGTGAAATGAACAACGGTGAGGAGCTTCTAATGAGTGAGAAATTATTTTCTGAATTACAGTAAAGTGTGGGTTTGTGTTCACCCGCCCTGAACGGGTTTTCATTCTGGTTTTGCACACGCTTTTATCACAGCTTAAGACAGCAGATGGCTCTCTTGCGTTTTCTTTCGCTTACCTCTATCTGTAAACAACTAATCAGCGTTTTGGGAAGGGAAAAGGGAAAAGCAGAGCTAAAAGACCTTGATTATCCCAATGCTGCCCCACCCCAAGCTCCCTTAAAACAGGAAACCACATAAAAAAGAGACCACCGCTTCAGCCTTGTGAAATTCACAGCCTGAATAGCAGCCATGAGACTGAGTCCGCTGTTTCAGGCGCTGTGCCAGGGGTCTGTATGCATCAGGAAAGAAAGAGTATTTCCTGGTTATCAAAAAGCTGGAAGGCTTTATGCTCCAAGGTTTGTATTATTAATGTCAGTCGATGGAAGGTGTGACGATTAATTTCCTTTCCACCTTGAAAAAAAAGAAAAGCAAAAGAAAAAGGTAGAAAGCTGCTTTTAAGGGAGGAGAGTATGAGAGGCTCACCGCCAGCCCTCCTACACTCTGGGGAACTTGCTTCCGCTCTGACAGCTGCGGCTGGGGCAGGATCCCTGTCCGCGGTGCTGAATCTCAGCCGCGCCTGTAGGTTGCCGAACAATGAAGGAGCCAAAAAACCGTCCT